GGAAAGGGGCACTTGTTCCCCACACAGCATATAAACCATCTGCTCAAATGGTTATAAGTAACTGAACCTGCAGCTCCTCTAAAAAAAGCTCAACCACCCTAACTTACAATAAAGTTGTCTTGCTGGGCCTTAAAAACCTCCAAGGATTGAGATTCCACCACCTCTCTAGATTTCATAGATTTCATAGACATTAGGTCTGGAAGGGACCTCGGAAGATCATCGAGTCCAGCCCCCTGCCCCAGGGGCAGGAAGTCAGCAGGGGTCATAGGATCCCAGCAAGATAAACATCGAATTTTCTCTTGAAGGCGTTCAATGTAGGCGCTTGAACCACCTCTGGTGGCAGGCTATTCCAGACCTTGGGGGTTCAGACAGTAAAGAAGTTCTGCCTTATGTCCAGCCTGAAATGGTCTTGCAGGAGTTTATAACCGTTTGACCTCATCATCCCTTGGGGCGCTCTGGTGAACAACCGTTCCCCCAGATCCTGGTGAACACCCCTGATAAACTTACAGGTGGCCCCTGAGCCTGTGCTTTTCCAGGCTAAAGAGTCCCATAGCTCTCAGCCTGTTGTCGTAAGGTCTGTTTTCCTGCCGCCTGATCATGCGCGTGGCTCTCCTCTGCACTCTCTCAAGCTTCTTCACATCCCTTTTGAATTGTGAAGTCCAAAACTGGACACAGTACTCGAGCTGCAGCCTCACCAAGGCCGAGTACAACGGAAGAATGGCGTCCTGGGATTTGCTTGAGAAGCATCTATGGATGCAAGCCAGTATTTTCCTCACTTTACTAGCCGCAGCATCACATTGAAGGCACATGTTCATCTTGTGGTCAATCATGATCCCCAAGTCCCTTTCATCCGTAACACTAGCCAGCGTAGCATTGCTGAACTTATAAGGATGCTGCAGGTTTTTCCTCCCAAGGTGGAAAAACTTGCATTTTTCGGTGTTAAACACCATCAGGTTCTCATGTGCCCATTTCCTGAGCCTGTCCAGGTCTGCCTGGATCGCCCTCTTCTCCTCAGGTGTGGATGCTTTACCCCAAAGTTTGGTATCATCAGCGAACTTGGCAAGTCCGCTTCTGACTCCAATGTCCACATCATTAATGAAAATGTTAAACAGTATAGGCCCTAGGACAGAGTCTTGAGGGACCCCACTGGTCACAGCACACTGCGACGATTAACTTCTGTCAACCACCACCATCTGGGTCTAACCACGGAGACAATTCCCCAGCCAGCGGATTGTGGTGGACCCAAGGCCACAATTGGCCAGTTTTGCTAAGAGGTAATCGTGGGATACCAGATCGAAGGCTTTTTTGAAGTCAAGATATACAACATCTATCTCCTCTCTCTAGTCCAGGTGATAGGTCACCTGGTTGTAAAAGGAAATGAGATTAGTCACGCAAGACCTACCTGCAACAAACTCATGCTGGCTATCGCTCAGGATGTTGCCATCAGCCAGTCAGTTGAGAATGGCCTCTCTGATGATTTTTTCTAAGACCTTCCCTGGGATAGAGGTCAGGCCAATGGGCCTGTAGTTTGCCAGCTCCACTTTCCTCCCTTTCTTGCAGATAGGCACCACATTGGCCTTCTTCCAATCTTCGGGCACTTCACCAGAGTGCCAGGAGTTCTTGAGGATCCGTGCCACGGGCTGAGCTATGATGCTTGCGAGCTCCTTGAGTACCCTGGGGTGTAAACTGTCATGGCTGGCTGACTTGAAGGTGTCCAGCCTGTCAAAGTGTTCCTTCACAAGGTCAGTATCAATGGAGGTAACCTGTTCCAGTGCTTCACCACCCTCCTAGTGAGAAAGCATTTTCTACTATCCAGCCTAAATTTCCCTTGCTGCAACTTGAAACCATTGCTCCTTGTTCTGTCATCTGCCACCACTGAGAACAGTCTAGCTCCATCCTCTTTTCAGCCAGGCTCAGGTAGTTTAAGTTTGTTATCAAATCCTCCCTCAGTCTTCTTTTCTGTAGACTAAATAAGCCCAGTTTCCTCAACCTCTCCTCAGAAGTCATATGCTCCAGCCCTCTAACCATTTTCATTGCCCTCGGCTGGACTCTCGCCAATTTGTCCACATCTTTTTTAGTGAGGGGCCCAAAACTAAATACAGGACTCCAGATGTGGCCTCACCAGTGCTGAATAGAGGGGAAGAATCACTTCCCTCGATCTGCTGGCAACGCTCCTAAAATGCAGCCCAGTATGCCATTAGCCTTCTTCACAACAAGGGCACACTTGGTTCGTATTCACCTTATTGTTATTATTATATTATTATTATTTGTTATTATTATTCAGCTTATTGTCCACTTTTTAACTCATTCCAATGAAGTTATATTTGGTTTTGCTTCAATCTTAGACTGAATAATACAGTCCTAGGCCCCTAGTGTATGAGTACAGCTTCTAGTTTATATTTAACTGGAGAAAAATATGTGTTGTGTTATATGCGATGATGCACCTCACAGCCTACAACCCCTCTTTACAAAATTCTAGATCTGCCCATGGATGGCTCCTGAGGGAGGGAGAAGGTATTTGCTCTTTGGAGAGAGGAGTCTGTTTTAGATGTGGGGAGGGGAATTATTCTGAAGTGGTCTGAGATCTATGAGGAATTCGGCACTGGCCATTGAGAAGGCATTGGGAGGGCAGGAAATTATGACACAAGAGGAGACATCAAAGGATCAAAACCACCTAAATGTGGGCCCGGATCAGCTGCATTTCCGAGATGGGGAAACTGAGGCACCAGCCAGGAGTGTGCTGTGGGTGAATCACCCAACCAGTCAGTAGTAGGGCTGGATGGTGTTGACCCTCATATATATTCTGAGAACCAAGACAGTTTCAATGAGCTAATCCCACAAAAATTAACTAGTCAGAAACATAAGGATACCTCAATTTTTAATAGCAAATTAAAAATTAAAATACAGAAAAGATATAAATGACTAAGCAGGACAGATAAGATATATCAAGCAAATGATTAAAATTTATAAAATGGACATTTATCTAAATGCATAACAATCTTATTGATATTTGAAAGCAAAAATGTCTTAAGGTTGCAAGTGTCCACCGCTGTCCACACAGCCAGAGCCCACCCCCATCCCCAAACATAGACAGCAGTGTAGTATATTGTACCCCTGTCCCCTGCACTACAGGAGTTTGGGTGTATGGGTGGATATTAGCAGACCTGTCTCTGTTTATTGGTGAGAATCTGCACTAATTCAGCTCCAGTGCCACAAGGGAATTGAGGGCTAAGCTTAGATTAAGTTATCTTTCAGGGCCGGGGTTCAAGCCCCACACTCTGCATATGATTTCATACCCAGTGACTTAGGCAGCTCCACACTCACCCTGAAGGCTGTTGTGCAACCCATTCAGAGACACCTGTCTCTCTCCAGGCATGGGACTGAGGCCCCAACTCTGGCTGGAAGATCCCACTGGGCAGCAGGGCTCCCAGGGCTAAGGGCCACAGCACTCATCTCTCTTGTGGGATCCATCTCTCTGGCATGTGCTGTGAGCTGTGTGGTGTCTGGTCTAGTACTCTCCCCCTGCATGGGGTGAACCCCCCCATCCCCCTCCCCCTGAAAGAGCCAAGTGTGGTGTCAGTGCCAAGTCAGCTCCACGCTCCCTTTTGATAAGGCAGTTCATCAGTAATCAGTGGCTTGCCAGTTATTCCCATTAGGAGAAATGGACCTTGAGACTCAGGTGTTAGGTTGGGGCAATCCTGTTTATTCACATCAATAGTGCACACAGGCTCATTTCCCTGGACACAGAGAGGTAATGAAGCAGCAGGCAGCGCCCCGCTCACACTCTCCCAGCCAGTCCTGTGCCCTGAGAGCTCTGCCCTCTGCCTCCACTCGGGGCCTCACTCACAGTTTCCCAAACACTGCCCACTTCCACACCAGCACTCAGATCACAGGAAGCTGCTCAAGGTGCACAGCCTGGCCTGGCACCTAATGGGTTTGGGCAGAAACTTCTACCATAGGAGCTTGCTCACTCAAGAAAAGGGTGGGATTACTTCTGCCATTTGCCCTGAAGGTAGGTGCTAAGTAGAACCAGCAGTTTTCACCAGGCCTGTAGTAGTGTCTGCAGAGCAAAGGGCCACTTGATGGCAGCATTACACCTTCCAGTCGAACCACAGACTTGAAGTTTGCTTTGCAGCCCGGGTGAAGGGTAGCATTTTCCACCACTTTGTGCGACTAAGAGTCCGGTTGCTCTTATGCTCTCTGGGGGCAGAATATGCTGGTCATTGTCTTCCGAAGGGCCAATCTCACTTCCTTGTTTCTCAGGCTGTACATCATGGGATTGAGCAGTGGGGTGAAGACCGTGTAGGACACAGCAATGAGCTTGTCCTGCTCCAGTGAGTGAGTGGACTTGGGTCTCAGGTAGATGATGCCAGCACAGCCATAGTGCACAATGACCACTGTGATGTGGCCAGCACAAGTGGAGAAGGCCTTGTGCCGGCCCTGGGCTGAAGAGATCTTGAGAATGGCACTAAGAATGAAGACATAGGACAGCAGGATCAGGAGCAAAGCACCGATGATGAACAGGAGGCCACCTGCAAAAACAACAATTTTGGGGACCTTGCTGTCAGTGCAGGCCAGCTGGAGCACTGGGCCACTGTCACAGAAGAAATGGTCGATCCTGTTGGGGCCACAGTATGGCAGGTTGAATATGAGATAAACCTCTATTGCTGGGATCAGAAAGCCAAAGAAGAGGCAGGAAGCTGCAAACTGTAAGCAGATACGTAGGTTCATTAGCTCTGAATAGTGCAGGGGATGGCAGATGGCCACATAACGATCATAGCCCATCACTGCTAACAGGGAGCAGTTGGTAGATGCAAACGACAGGAAGAAGAACATCTGCAGAGCACAGCCCACCAAGCAGATGGGTTTTCCTCCAGACAGCAGAGTGGCCAGCATGTTGGGGATGACGACAAAGGTGTAGCAGGTCTCAGAGAGTGAGAGGGTGAACAGGAAGAAGTACATGGGGGTGTGCAGAGCACAGTCCAGCTGGATGGCCATCAAGATGAGCAGGTTGGCCATCAGTGTGATGATGTAGATTAGGAGAAAGACTGTGAACAGGATGTAGCGCAGCTGTGAGGGCAGAGAGAATCCAACCAGAAAGAACTCAGTCACCAAGGTGTCATTACCTCTTCTCATGATGGATTGGAGCTGGCACTGAGGGGAGAGAAGCAGAGAAAGGGATTATTTGCAAAGCAGATGCATTGTGCCCCTCCAGAATGTTTCTGAGCCCCCCCCCCAATGGGTATGGAGTGTCCTTCTTTATCCACTCCCAGACCTCAGCCTCTGGTGTGCTTGAGAGACCACCAGTGATGACTCCAGAGTGACCCACCTGGTGTATTTTTCCAGATTAGCAATGGGTTAATGGGTCAGGTTGACACTGACACCAAGACAGAAACATACACTAACTTAGCTGAAGCAAATGGCAAGCCATCCCCCACCGACCCCTTCTGTCCATGTGTGTTGGGTAAGAGGCAAATACAGAAGTGGGCAGGGAATCTTTGTTCCTTCCACTTCTCCAGAGCTCCCAGCCCACAGCATGCTGGGACCAGGAGAGGATGCGCATCCCTGGGCTCACTACCACCAACTATCCTATTCTCACACATGACCTGCCCTTGTGTGCACAAGTGTAAGTCAGGATTCACAGCCATCAGTTGGTACATTTCTACACCTGGTGCTTTCCAGGGCAAAGGAGGCTTTTGAGAGCAGTAGGAAATGCCCTATCCTGGCTATTTACTGGACTGGCAATGAAAACTCCATCCCAGTGATATCACTATCTCTGCTCCTGCATTTCCAACTGCCTAAGTGCAAGGACAAGATCAGTACTAAGGGTCAATGTTACAGCAGGCATTGAAAGTCTGGTATCTGTGCAAGGGTATAGTGTACCTGACAGAGTAAGGGAAGCTGTCAATGGCAGCAGTGGCAAGTAAGGAAATTCCCTTCCACTAGTCACTTCCCTGCTTTTATGGATTTATAAATCCATAAAACCCACCTTTTTATGGTGGGTTTTCCTATGAATGGCCCTGGTCAGGATCTGATCATGGTGCTCTTGGGGGATTTTTCTTGGCTTCTTCAATAGGTACCAAGTCACCAAGGCTAACAAGATCCAGGCAGAGGAGGGCTGGTATGTGAGGTGAGACGAAAAACGTTTGGCAAGGGACAGGTCTGAGCAGCCGTGTCTTGGCAGTGCTGGCCCTCCCTCCCCAGGGTCAGAGCAGCCTGGAAAGTGGATGAAACACTGGGGCTGTTTCCTCCAGACTCAGGTCCCATCCCTGAAGCACAGTGCCTCCTCATCTTGCAGGCTCATTATAGAGTGACGGTATGGAGATGGGTCAGGAAAACCTGCAGCTACGCTTGCCCAGACTCCTCAGCAGCAAGGAGCTCCTCCAGTGTACGTCCTTGCCTTCCCCTGCTTGGAACCCTTCTCACTGACATTGATGACAGAGCACCTGTATACCTATCCAGGGACTGATGTCCTCTCCAGGACCTCAACGATGAGCTGAAGCTCCATAGTCTGGCACGACCCTGGCAGAGGGAAGCTGGCATTCATCAGTAAATGCAGAGATTCCTCCTCCAAACTGTCTTGGCAGGTGGCGTGGGAGGGATGCTTACTTTATACCTGCCTCCTAAGGTTTATATCTCTCCAGCACTATCAAGAAGAAAACCCTCATCCCAGCTGCTCCAGGAGGCAGCAACTTACCAGCATGTCTGGAAACAGCTCTAGAAGGTTTCCTCAGCCATGCTCCCAAATAGTCAAGGCAGAGGTCAGTCCCTGTGTGTGAGCTGCTCTGAGAGGACAGTGATTCCAGAAAAGGAAACAGTGCAGTGCATCTGTGCAGTGATGAACAGGAGAAGAAAAACAGCTAGGTGGGAGGTCAGTGGAGCTGCTTCTGTCAGTCCTGAAAGCCAGAGTCTGCCCCTTTTAGGTACCAAGTTATCTCTTCTCCAGTCCCCAGGTCTACTGGCTGGGAAGGGCTGTTGTTTATATTTTTGCTTTGGGGGCCCTGGGACCTAGTCTCTGACACAGTTGATCTCCCTAAAGCCCTGCCAGCAAGCAACATATGGGAAATAAAGACACCATCCCCTCTCTTAGGGATGCAGGTACCCCAGTGCTGCGACCGTGAGCACCTGAGCTGGGAAAAAAATCTTTGTTCCTGTAACTGCAGAGTCCCAAACTGGAGTACTCAGGATGTGGGCAATCGATTCCACCCATGCCCAGGTATCCCTGACCCAACCAGCTCCTCTTCCCACACAGCACGGACACCCCCCAGGGAGCTCAGTCAAAGTGTACTTACCCTTCATTCAAACCAACTCCTCTTGACTGAGGTACCCAGATACCACAGTGGTGGGCACAGTATGAAAACCAGGCTGGGAATAGGGAGATAGAGAGAAAAATAGAGGTTAGACAGAGCCAGGCCTTCAGGATTGGGCCCAGTTTCATCTGGAAGGACACAGATTCATAAATTCATAGACTAAGGCTGGAAGGGACCTTGGAAAATCATCAGGCCCAGCCCCCTGCACCAAGAAGGAAATGTTACCACCCTGGGTCTGTCACAGCAGCCCACCCTCTGCGAGCCAAATACATGAGCATAGGCCTTGACCTCAACCAGAGGCTCACAGTCCCTGGACATCCCTAGGGCATCAGGACCTCTCTCAGACCAGGCATATGGCAAAGTGAGCGCACTGCTGGCTCAGCGTGGACCCCATGGATAGGAGTGCACTGCTGAACTAGCAACAAGCAGCAAGGCACGTCCAGGGCTCCCACACCCCGGCAAACTCTGGCCCAGTGAGATCCTAGGATGTGCCCAGCTCCAGCCTCAGTTGCTCATGGTCTTAGAGCTGATGCTGCTCAAGCACCTAAATGAATCAAGGCCCAAACTAGGGGCTGTTGGCCCCAAGGGGTATGTGCTCGTGTCCCAGCGACAAGTCTGAGCTGTGCGCAAACAAACATGTTGGAACAAGGGAGAAGAGACACTGGAATGCATGAGGAAGGCCCTGGACATGAGGCTGACTGCCCCCTGACAAGGTGAGCCACAGACCCTGTAGAGCTTGCTGAGAACACTGTAATAACCATAACCCTGGCAAGAGTGGGGTAACCTGGGCATGCAGCCAGGAACTGCTAGTGCATTGGTAAAGTGTCAACCAGGGAAGGAACAGAGCCACCGCTCCATGCACTGAACCCCATGACAGTCAGAGCCTGCACTCTCACCCATGGGGCTCCATTGCTGCCCCTGCTATCTGCACACTGAGCTTTACTGTTGAGCAATAAGCAGGGCCTGGGCACTGGGGCAGCAGAGCTGTTAGAAAAGCTGGTCACCAGATTTTTTTTCTTTCTGATTAGGTGTTATAGATTTCATAGACATTAGGGCTGGAAGGGACCTTGCAAGATCATCAGGTCCAGCCCCCTGCCCAAAGGGCAAGCAGTCAGCAGGGGTCAAATGATGCCTGCAAGATAAGCATCCAAGTGTTTCTTAAAGGAATCCAGAGTAGGTGCCTGCACCACTTCTGGAGGGAGTCTATTCCAGGCCCTGGGGACTTGGACAGTAAAGAAGTTCTTCCTTATGTCCAGCCTAAAATGGTCTTCCAAGTGTTTGTGATCATTGGACCTAGTCTTTCCATGGGGTGCCCTGGCGAACAGATGTTCTCCCAGTTCCTGGTGCACACCCTTTATATACTTATAGGCTGCCACAAAGTCGCCCCTAAGCTTGTGCTTTTCCAGGCTGAAGAGTCCCATGTCTCTCAGCCTCTCCTCATAAGGCCTGCTCTCTTGTCCTCAAATCATTCGCATGGTTGATATGGTTGAGATCAAATTCGCACCAAAAGAAAAATTCAGCAGGGGAGAGTGTGTTTCCCACCACACCCCCAGCATGGAATCCATCAGCGCAAATGGGTTGAGTCTGGGTCACCCTAACAACCGATGTGAACTGCTACCACCTGCAATAAGCACAAAGGTAGGTTGGGAGAGGAGCTCATCACCACTAGTGCTAGAGTGTCTCTTTCTCCAGAGGAACAAATCTTCTATTCCCAGAGTGAAAAACATGGCCTGGTAAAACTTGATCTCAAACTGCCCTCCCAGCAGAGGAAGTCCTGGTGTGACAGTGACAGTGACCATCAGAATCAGTGAGCACCTCCTCCAGGGCCACAGAGCAAGAACGTGACACATTGGACAGTGGGTGTCACCCTCATGAATGTGCCGCCTTCTAGCTGCACCACTGGACCTGGAGCAAGTCTCCACTGATGTACAGAGGAGTCACAGCCCCAGGGTATCTGAACAGAAATTGGTGCCAACCCCCAACTGCAGGAGCCTCTTTGCTGAAGGGAAACAATGTGGCACACAGACGTCCCTCTAAGCACAATCTCCACAGCCTGGTGAGGAGAGCCCAACTGCATCTTGGGCCAGGTCATCAGGGCTACAGGTGATTCACACCAAGCCCTGGATGCAGATGGTGAATGGTATGGGATAGTCCTGTTTTTTATTTGTTGGACAAGAGAATGGCAGGGAAGTGCTCAGCAAGTACAGTCTCCTGCTCTTGGAAGGACCTGATAATTCCTCTCTGAGACCTACCCCCTGGGTCAGAAAGGGATGGGTGGGTCTTACTCCCCAAGCTGACCTGGAGCCTAACAGGCCCACCTTCAAACATGGCATGGTGTTCCCACTGCCTGCCCAAGGTTCACCCCATGTCAGCCTCACCAGCAGGACACAGAGGGGGGCAGAGCTTCTTGCTTCTCTTCTGCAGCCCTCCTTCAGATCATAGAAAAACTACTCCCAATCCCTCCCCATTTTGCTCACATTCAAGATGCACTGGAATGTATGACTGTCAGGGTTTGCTGGTGGCTAGATCCTGAGGGTAAGGGCCCCTCTAGACATTCAAGTAAAGGTGTGATAGGATCTCATGTGCGATCCATACAATCACACCTCCTGCCATGCTATGCATGCATGGCAGGAGGCGAGATTGTGGGATCTAGCCTAAGATCCAATCACATCTTATTGCCAGTGCAGGAGGAGCCCAGGATTGGTGATTCCAGGCTCCCCATGCACCGGCAAGTAGCAAGAGTGGAAGAATGCCTCAAGAGCAAAAACATCTGCTCACATAGTATGGGAGAAGAGTAAAGAAAGAAAAATACATGGGAATGTTTGTTGAAAGTCTGCTCCCTGTTGTGAGGCCTAACAAACTGCTATGGTCCAAATTACAATTGGAGGTAATCTACAATTTCAGTGGCTTCAGGGATTTCCCAGACCTCTGAGCCAGCAGAGCAGCTCAGGCAGAGCAGAGTCTCTAGCATGTCCCCTTCCTGACAGACAAGGAGCTTCAGGGCTGAAAACAAGGCTCTTAAATCCCTAGGAAAAGAGGGAGTCTTCTAAGGTATCTTAAAACTCCATCAAGAGCTCGGCCTCAGCAAAGTCAAACCTTCCAGGTGTCATTGGGGTATTTGGGGCTGATGGAGTCATCTGATCTCATAGTGTTTGGAACCTTGTTATGTCATGATGGGAGTTGCCACGGAAATGGAGCAACAGGGAAATACTCCAACAGAGATGGACAACCAAGGGGTTGACATGATGGATTTTGAGGAGCAAGGTTTTACAGGAGGAGGGTTTTGAAGAGTTGGACTTTGAGGAACAGGGTTTTGAAGTGATAGATATCAAGGAGCAGGGGTGTTAGCACCACTGTCCACCAGATAGTGCTAAGGGATTGTTAATGCACAATTAACCCTTAAATGGAACGTGAAATATGAACAGACAGCTCAGTGTCCTAAAATCAAAGTCTAACTTTATTAGTACAGCTAATATTATCTTAGTAGTTTCTATATTCAGAGAGGGAAAAACATTCAGTACAATAATCTCACCCAACAATCCAGATGGTACACTGCCCCGTAGAAATGATGACCAATCAATTCCTGAATGCAGTTGGTGGCGTCAGTGGATAATCTTTATGGCTGGCACAGACAGATTTTTTCCTGAATTTATGACGACACACGCTTCACTTTATGGCTGTCCCCTTTTATACTTTTCTTTAACTTCAATCCTTTGATGACCATTTGCTTTTGGATTGGTCTTTCTGTGGTCAGCATACTGTCCATATTTTATCCTGTCAGCATATTCCTTTGTTCAACAGCACACCTGTTGCACACACCTCTTAATTTGTTCACGAGCACACCTCATTTGGTCTTTTTCCATATCTTACTTCGGGTTTTGTCCATTGGTCTCCCTTATTACCTTTCATTAACATATCCAATCATTTCAACCCTCTGATTCAGCTGGTTAGTCCCAGATTCAGTTAATCTGAGCTGGTAACAAGGCCCTTTACTATGTTATCTTATAACTTTCTTTTATATCACTGTGAGAACTTCTCACAGTGATATAAAAGAAAAGTAACAATATAGATATGAGCACTATGGGCTCTGCAAAAACAACTCAAGGTTATAAGCTGCTTGCAAGAGACAAAGCCAGCTAATATTGCAGACACCAGCAAAATGAAAAGTTCAAAACTTAAGCAATGGTAAAATAAGGCTAATATAAAAAGAAGTTTAAACAATACTGTAATTTACCTGTGACAGCTGAAAAGTGTGCCTGTGTGATCAAGATGCTTGCTGAAGGCTCTATGAAGATTAGACCAAGTGTTTTTCTGTATTTGTTTAGATAAAGCTATATGTTGTTGCTAAAAGCCTAATTAAAGTTTAAGATGTAGTGAGGCCTTGTATAAAGTAAGGCCTAGTAATTTAGCAAAGCCTAGAAGTAGTAAGGCCCTATGGCGTAGTTAAAATTACCTTATCAAAGGAATGCAAGGCTTGTACTGCTATTGGTCAGTCTAAGGACAGTTGAAGTAAAAGGAATCTGAGTGGTTGTACGTTATCAGAACCATTCAGAAGCTTTAAATTGGCTGGAATACCTGGAAGCCATTCAGAAGGAAGATACAGCTCTGTAAAAAGGATTAGTTAGCTGTTGCCTGGCTCAGTGGGCCCGTAGACCTCGAGGAGCCCAAGGACTGCATTCCAGGGTCCTTCCTGGTACCTTTCGGACAGTGCTGTTCAGGGACGCCTGACTTCGCTGAACTTTGTGGAAAGAGAAACTTGCTGTGTATCAGGCATCAGAGGGGACTGCCGATAAGTTGCCGATGTGAATTGCTTTTGTCTGTCATTGTTTGTTAACATCTGCACACAGACAAAACAAGACATGGAGGTTTTTCCTTATCTTAGAACATTTTAAAACACATAGCATCAGCATCTTTTTCTCTTCTCTTCCTCTCTCTTTGTCTCTCCTCTTAGTCAAGTAAGAGACCTGGTTAAACTTATTTCCACACTTGGGAAGCGTGACTTATGAGGAAAGGCTGGAAGAA